ATTTAAGAAACAAAAAAGGCTCATAAAATTACAATATGTTTACGAATGCAATAGTGATTAGGAGATGGTGGTGGTGAAAATTGCTGTTAGAATAGAGTCCTTTTCTAGTGTTCACACTCCTTGGATGATGCAGAGATGATACTGAGATTTCAAAAGACAACCCCAGAACTGAGCCACAGGCTGGAAAGTGTGATGCTTGCAAATGAAACCTGCAGAAGAGATGAGTGAAAGGCACTTTCTTTTTTTAAAATTCTTTTTTTTTTTTTTGAAAGAGCATTTGCTCTTTCTGCAGCCCAAGCCTTGATGATAAATGTGGAGGCAGGCATCCCGGTTCCTTCCGTCTCTTCCCCCAGCGCATGCCTGCCAATCTCTCGCCGCCCTCCTGGTGCGTGGTGATTCAGCCCGGCGTGGTCTGTGGTCTGGACGCAGGGTTTCGGTGATCAGGAACAGACGACTAATCGCTGCCTACAAAAAAAATGAATGCATGGGTTCTATCCTACCTGCCCTGGTAGTATTTCAGGGTATTTCAGGCGTGGCCTCAGCTGCTGCTGGTGGCAGCACGTCAGAGAGAGCAAGCATCAGTGCTACCAGGTTTTGACCTTTCCTTTCTTTACTTTAGTAGGTGGACCAAGAAAGCATGACTAATATTTGTGTTGTACCTCTCTGGGCTTATCTGTGTTTTCTGCTGGCTAAGGGATCACTTGGCACCTTTCCTATACTATTAAGATTGCCTAAGCAAAACCAACAACCGTATTAATTCCACGTGTCTCTAAGCTGGTGGGTTTTTTGTCTGTAGATGATTTGGTGAGGGACTCACAGCCTAAAGAAAAGCAGGTCTTTTCTCAATGGGCTTAAACAAGCTTCGGCACTCCTTAGCAGTAGGGGGGGAAAAAAATCATAGGGTTTTTCAAATGAGAAAAAACCTGATAGTTTTAAAATAGCTTCTTATTATTTAAATAAAAGACTTTGAACTATTTTGGGGGTTGGTATTACTTACAGTTCCTAATGAACACTGATGCCGTTTACTAACATTCTGGTGCAATTCAGTGTCTTGTACATAGTTAAATAAATACCGTATGTGCAAATAATGATTTGCTACTCAGCAAGCCTTCAGCAGATCTTCATCTTTAATATGTTCAAATGTCTCACTATGAAGATGCAGCTATGGCATTGGGATTTTCTAACTCTAATCTTTAAAATGTTGACTCAAGCCTTTTAAGAGTGAGAGCTGAACAGTCTGTACCTATGGGCGGGAAGCAGTGAAGGGACACTGTGCAGTGAAAGTCAGCCTTGCTTCCTCAGAAACTTCTTTGTCAGAACCCTTGTGATGCAATCCCGCTTCCCTGAAGGGCAGGGAAAAAAAAAAAATCCAAAAAGTCCCTCCTGCCTGACTGTGGGTGGTTTTGTTTTGTTTTTTTTTTTCTTTTCTTTTTTCTTTTCTTTTTCTGTTTTTTGGGGGTTTGTTTTGTTTTGTTTTGTTTGGGGGTGAGGGTGGGCTGTAGGGGAGTGCGTGTGTGTGTGTAGTGATTCATTTTCCTAGTTTCCAAGTTCCCCCTTGCTACATATGACACACCAGAAAAGGCTGAGGGAACCGGGTCCATTCAGCTGGGAGAGGCGACAGCTGGGGACGGGATCTAATGGCAGTTGACAAGTATATAAATGTTGCAGAAAAGACAGACTTTTCTCTGAGGCCCCTAATCAAAACACAAAAAGCAGCTGTCATAAGTTACGCTTAGATATATGGGGGGAAAACTCAGGCTGGCGGTGGTTAAGCGTGGGCTAATGCTGCCATTAGCCCCGCTCTGAGCATTGGGCTGGGACTGGATGACCTCCAGAGCCCCCTCCCAAGACGGGTTTGTCTGTGAGTCCGTGCTGGCTGCATGGAAGGGTAAAAGACTGAAAACTGTGGCCCCAATTGAGAATAGTCTTTGGGTCCGGAATAATCCCAACCACTCTTTTTTTTTTTTTATTGTCTGTTTGTGTGAAATGCCACAGATGAGAGAGACTTGTCCAGCCTCTGCCAGTTACTAGAAGTATTCTCGGTATGCTTTAGGAGCTTCTCCCTTTCCTTCATCTTCCTGCACCCTTACCCAGGCATGTAATCAAAACCCATCTTCACTGCAGATATGAGTGACTCGCATCTGAAAAGCCAAAGGTGGTGCTGCAGAAGCAGTTCCAGGGTTAAATTTTCTCCTCTAATGGATGAGAAACCACTCGCTCAAGGGAAAAAGAAAAAAAAACAAACAAAAAAACCCCAAACCAATGAGATGGTGCTATCAGGTTGTATGAGTCAGGCAGCTCCCAGCAAGAATGTACTTGACTTTTAGCTCTGTGTAGCAATATTCAATCCTCCAGAGAATGAAATCTGTTTGCCCAGCATTTGGATAGGTTTTTATTCCAGGAAAGGAAAAAATTCTCATGCCTCCAGTTCTGTGTCTGGTCACAGAAACATCAGTACTGATGTTTAACTAAGGTTTGGATCAAAAAGATGCTTCAGTGTAAGCTAGGGTGAGCTAGTAGCATAACTACTTCTGTGGAGTCTGCTGGGGAAAGTAATACATTTTTATTTTCCATTTCTTCATAAAGTACCATTCAGAGAATTCTTAAACAGTATTGTTTCTTAAAAGTTCTCATATTTTAAGTAGCACTGCAATGCATGTCATCCTATAATGTTCCTCAAATGTTTTAATTTTTAAATGTACTATATGTAACTGTACTCTGTTAAACTCAAGATGTGTGTGTATGTACACGTGTCTGTGTATGTGTGTGTGTGTAGCTGGTACTCATTTGACTATAGCTGTCTTTATCATGCAAAGCATGACTGAAGTTGATGAGGACAACGTCACAGATGCTAATAACCTGGGGATTACCAGTGGCTGTTTCAATAATCACAAAAAATTACGTGAAGAGTTACAGATTACATCAGACTACCAAGCCCAATCACAGATAAAGCGCTATCAGAGTGCAGCGCGTAGGAAACCCCGAGTTTTTCCACGTGGTAAGCGCTTCTTTCCCCGTTTCACCACGCCGCAGAGCAACCTTTTCGGAGCGAAACCCGTCGGCGCCGGGCAGGCTGGCCCTCAGCTCTGCATTTATAGGAGGAACCGCCATCAAAAGCAATTTTGGCAAAGCTCCACGCTTCAGCTCCTGGCAATAGGCTGTTACGTGGGGTACGGGAAGGTGTGTTGGTACAACTCAAGTAAGCAAATATGCAACCTGTGACTAAACTGATGACATTTCTGTCTGGCAATTATAAAAGTTCCCTATTCCCGCATTTGAGCTTATATAACATGATGAAATACTAATTGCATTTGGTGTGGGGAACTTCTTAAAGGTCATTGGATTTTGAAAATGTGCTTGGGAAATGGATAAACACCCAGCCAGTATTCTGGCGACCCCCCAGGTCGCCTTTCTGCCTTCTATCTCCATTTGGGTTTTTTTTTTCTTTTCTGCATTTCTTCTTAGTTCATTAATTCCCTTAAGTGGGTTGACTAGTTAATTATTTAAAGGTATACATCTAGAGTTTTAACATATCTGCTGCAGGTTTGGTGTTTGGCTCGTGAGGTAGAGGTGATCAGCTGAACTGAGAGCCTGCGCCCATGAATCTGACCAAGGCCAGCTTCTTCATTAGATGTTGTTGTTTGTTGAGGATAAGCGATTGCCTTTAAATAAAAAAATACCTTCATTTGAACCAGAACTCGCACTTTTCTGACCTGACAGGTGTTTTGCTTCTACCTTTTCCCAAAGTAAAGATGATTGTTAGGCAAATTTTTGTTTCTGCAGACAGGTAGTCTTCACAGCCATTATTTCTTTGGTGGGCGTCGTTACCTATGTCATACAAAATTTAGTTTTTTCTCTTCTTGCTTGTCGATGTGATCTTGCAGGAGGAGAATGCATCCTGACCTTTGCCCAGATGCAGTGGTGTGCAAGCACCGAAGCACACGTGGATGTCAGTGCCGGGGAGTTTTTGGAGAGGGAAGGGTGAGGAGCAAGGCTGGGCAGAGGGGCCAGCAGGCTCCCAGCTGCCTCCAGCGGCACCGCGTTTGCTGCCAGTGACTGACTCGGCTGAGCTTTCCATACATCCCAGGAGCATGACACCTGGCTCCCACCGGGCAGTTGTTGACGCGGCATTGAAATGTTTACAAACACAAAGCGAGATCGCTTTCGCCGGGGAGCCCCGGCATCCCCAGCCCTGGGGTCAGGCTCGCAGGGATGCGTGTATTGGAAAGGCAGGATTCGGAGGACAGCGGTGCCAAACGCCAATATTTGTGCAGACGGCGTCACGGCACACCCGCACCAGTCAGGGCCTGGCAGTCTGAAAGTCCAACGCAGAGTGGCACTTTGGCCGGATGGGCTGGGCTCGCCTCTCCGTTCCCTGTCTAGAGGCTGGCCCTCCCAGCATCTCTCCAGCAGCCAGCGTGGTGGTGTGGACACGCCGCCCAGCAGCACGGCTAGCAGCGATTTCACAGCCCCTCCTTCCTCCCATGATATATGCCTAGATGACTTCCTGCCGCCAACACACCTGCAAACCTCATCTGCTTGCATTCGACCCGAGGACAGGCCACCAAATCAGATGACATCCCATGGGTATGTCTTTTACATCTTAGCAGCAAAATTTCTTGCATGTTTCAGCTCTGAGTGACAACTGAGCTGAAAAACAAACAAACAAACAAACAAAATCTTAGCATGGCAAGCAAGCAGGCTCATGTGACAAATTTAGGGGATATAAAGCAATATTGCCAGACATCATTTGGGAATTAATGGCTAAAAAAAAAGGACCTTTGTCATCCTGGTTTTCTTCATAATTACTTCCAAACTTCAGAGTGACCACAGCTGCCAAGTAAGAACAATTGCTTATGTTTAATTTAGAGCAACTCATATGTTTTTCAGCTAACTTAAACCAAAGCCAAACAGGGGATTTTGGAAACCGCTGAAAATAAGGGGAACTCTGGAGTGTTTAACAATTACTTCCTCATAAGACATGCCCAAGAGGAAGAGAGATGCTCTTCAGTCATGGAGCTACTCTCCTAAGCATGAGGGGGATCACGCTTTCCTCCCTCTGCTTACTGATGCACCTGCTTCAGGATGAGATAACCAGTAAGTAAAGGCTTTCTGCTCTTTTTCTGTGTGGGGAGGGGGACTCTGGGTCTGTTATTGAATCTCTAGGTGAGTCAATAAATCTCTAGATCTTTTGGTGGGTTTCAAAAGTCCTGTAATTTCCAAATTAGTCTGTTGTTTTGTCTTTGAAGGTTCTGAAATGCAGCTAAAGCAAGCACACTGCCCATTGAATTTATTCATAGCTGTGTTACCAGTTTCAGTTCAATTAGTACAAGTCTTAGTGGATTCTGTGATATGCCAGGGACAAAGTTGCAGTAATATAGAGTCATCTGGGTCAAAAAACCCAGAAAAATGTTAGCATTTGGATGCTTCAGAGAGGTGGTTAACTCATTGTCATTTGTAACCATTGCAGTTTGAAAACAAATTATCCTGAGCATTGCCAGGCAGCTTTTTCCAGTAATGCAGACTGGAAAAGCAGTGAAGCTCAGGTTTCTTTTTATTAGGCAAGAGCTGATAAATATGATTACATCAATTGTTAAAACAGCTATAATCCTTGTAGGTTAAAGTTGAGATGTGGAGGAAAGGGCACTCGGCTTGAGCTACTAACGTGGCTGCTTACTGCAGGCTCTGTAAATTGATCCGAAGGGTTTGTTTCCAGGGATGTCCATCAGGCATCTTTCACAGCAGTAAACTCATGAAGGAAAAATTAAAAAAAAAACAACCACAAAAATACCACAAAACCAAACCACATGAAAGCGTTCCTTTCATTATACTGTGCATGTTTGTTCTGTAACTGCTAGATTTGATCACTGTGACTTGGAAAGTTTTGAACATGAGATCCAGGAGGTTTAACTTCCCTGTGGTCTGCTAGCCTGAAACCAAATGAGCTGTAGCAGTACCCCTCCGATTTGAATACGGAGGAGTGTATCTGTGACAAACTCATTACATTATTGTTCCTTATTATTTGCAGCAATTTTAGTTTTGGAAAATCAAGACCTGAAAGATTCGATTAAGCCGCAGAACGTAGAGTTTCGTTCGTTAAACTTCAACAGCACTTTGCATTGGCAGCCTGGGAGGGCCAGAGAGGCAAGAGACACGGTCTACTTTGTGCAGTATAAAGTGTAAGTACCAGGGGCACTCCAGCCTCCCACCGGGCAGGAGGCTGTCCCTGCTTGGGATGTCAAAGGGATTTCTCAGGTGACACGAGATATTCTCTCCATACCTTGGGAACAGCCACATCCTGCTCAGCTGTCAGCTCTCGGTTGTTCCTGCACTTATCGACAGCCCATCAGGTGCAGCTGAACAGCCCGAGGCAGGGAACAAGCACCTCCAGCAATACGTTCTGCACCCTCATTGCACCGCAGAGTTGCAGAAAAATGTAGTTTGCAGGGGACTTCTGCCCAAAGCAGGTCTAGCTGCTTCTGGGTACGTCTGCAATAGGACGTTTAAGGTATTTTGGTGGCCCACCCTGCCCACGACAGTGCTGCAGGGCGCTTCGCATGGCAAACTTGAGGCAGCGCTAGGGGCTGGTCCTCAGAGGAGGTATGCTTGTGTTTCTGGCGCACCTGGTGAGCACCTGAAATCACCTTTGAGAAATCAGTTGGTAGAAACAAGCATTCTGCCCATCTTTAAACACACTCACCAAAGCTCACCCGCCTCTCCCGAGCAGCAAGCGTGCAGCAACTTCCTACAGGGCTGGTAACCCACGTCTCTGCTTTAGGTTTCTTTCAGAAAAGACAGAAACCTGTAGCTCCCAAACGCCCATGAAATCAATCTTCCCTGCCATCAAGCTGAAGAAGAAAGTTAATTTCCATGGCAAAACACTTGTCAGTACCGCCAAGTTAAAACAGATGGTTGGTTAAAAATCTGTACTTAGCCAGTTGGCGACAGCTAAAGCTTACATCCTTCCTCCTCGTTCTCCATAGGTATGGGCAGAGCACGTGGCAAAACAAAGACGAATGCTGGGGGATTCAAAACCATGTCTGTGACCTAACGAAAGAGACCTCTGACATCCAAGAGCCTTACTATGGCAGAGTGAAAGCCGCGTCGGCTGGCATCTATTCCGACTGGAGCCTCAGCTGCAGATTCACTCCCTGGCAAGAAAGTAAGTACAAACATATGGGTCTCTCTGAGAAAGGAATTGGATTTTCTGTGGCGTGGAATGCATCATTTTTGCTCACAATTTGCAAACATGAGTTATCCTTTTCTAGCTACAAAGCTGTACCAAGAGAAGTTGCGAGCCAATAGCTCTCAGGTGAAGGGTTGCAATAAAATAATTTTCCCCACACTTGGATGCCAGCCAATTATGGATAAGTTGCCACTTATCTATACTTAGGGGATCAGAAATGCCCAGCTCCCTTTAACGCAACCCCTTCCTCAAAGCATGGAACTACAAAAATGATTTCCAGCCGTTTTCGGTGCTGCTGGCAGGACTGGGCACAAGGTGGAAAAGAAGGAAACGTTCTCTGCTTGAGGGGAAAAGGCAGAAGAGAGCTGAGTGCTGTGTGGCCACCATTCTTCTTGCATTTATGTGTTTTCCTGACGGCAGTGTATTTAGAAAGGACATGGGCAAAGCTTTTAGTTAGTAGTCGTTATAATCCCATAGAATGTTAGAAATTGGCCTGTCAAAACACTGAACAGTACCAGTAAGTTCCCTGTGAATTAGCCAGTTTTCCCTCACTGGTCAATGCAAAATTGAATCGTGAATGTCAATGCAGGTCACTTGAGAACCCTGAAGTGCAAACCACCTTGAGCTTCTTGTACAGATGAAACCACAAGGTTTGACATAAAGCAGTACCTTGCAGCAGCAACAGCCCATCTTGCCTGGTGCCACCTCCTCCTGGAGAGATGCGTGGGGCAGCGGCTGTCCTGTCTCCCCACATCTCTGGGGCTGTACAGCTATGCAGACACTAGTTTGAACCCATAGCTGTGTTTGACCAAGCAGATTGCAAAAATGTTGAAAGTAATGATTGAAACTACATCCTTGACATAACTGGAATGGTTCAAATAGCTGTTTATGCAGGCCAAGCACACAGATAAATATGGGGGAGTAAAAAAAGTCAGGGTAAAGAATCCAAAGCATCTTGTTTGACCGGCCTGCAGTCAGCAACGTGTAGCTCTGAGAGATTTCAAAAAATTTGGCTCAAAAATAGGTTTACAAACATGGGAAATGTCATCCCCAAAAGGTCCCAAGAAATAACCACCAAGAAGTAAGGATTTGCAAAGTGGCAGTTCAACAGTAAATACAGCATAATATAATGTTGGTAACAAGAACAATAGATCATTGAACGAATTCAAATTGTGGTCTGAGAGACATTATTAATAAACTATAATTGTATTCATAGCTTTGGTGTTTTTCCTTAGCTATGATAGGACCTCCGATGGTAACTGTGGTTCATAGCAACAAATCCATAATACTAAAGCTCCAGGCTCCACGTTCTCCTTATAAAAGGAAGAGAGGCAGCATGGTACCGATGACAAATTATTATGATCTGCTATATCAAGTCTTCATAATTAACAACTTGCTAGATGAGGTAAGTACATATTCAATATAAATCCTTTACCATTGAAAAGCCAGGAAACTACAGGCACACCATGCTTGTTCTATAGTCGAAATAGTCTTCTAGGATTGTGAGGGCATCCATGACTGGGTAAGTATTTGAAAACAAAGCAGGTTTATTTTTCAGGAGTTAAATTTGAATGAATTGAGTTGTAATTCCTCCCTTCATTCTTTTCCATCAACTTAGTATTTCATACTCTAAGGCCTAGATAAAAACAAAAACAAAACCACCCCCCACCCCCAAACAAGCAAACAAAAAAACCCAAACCAACCTGGGACAAGAGAGGAATTTTAGGGAGAATTTTCTTCAAAAATCATAAATAAATCATTAACATTGTCGAGTTCATGCAAGTCCATGTGCTGGTCTGCATCTGCTGGCCTTATCAAACATGAGTCACAGACACACTTGCTGGGGCAATGCGTTTGACTGGCTGTTTTTACTCTACTCTGAAGCAACACAGAGCCCTGGTGTACGAAGGAAAAGACAAGGTTATTAAAATAGAAGATTTGAGGCCCGGAGTCAGTTACTGCATTGTGGCTAAAACGTACGTGCCAATGCTGGACCGCAGCAGTGCCTACAGCAGCAGGCAATGCACCATGCTGCAGTGACAGGGCTGGCACCTCTGCAACAGGTAAGTCACCAGCTGAAACTGGAGATGACTCTGGGAGTCAAAAGCTATCCCCTCACCAAAGACAGATACTCTCCAAAAGGAGAATAAAAGGCGTGGCATAAAAACTGCCATCCCATATGACAATATTAGCCAGAGTTCTTATATCATCTCAGGTAGTTTCACATCAGGTAAGAATGATACATCTAAAAAGATTAGATGAATGGCATGGATAATTATTTGCATTCTGGCATGGTTCTCAGAAGCACCTCCCTCTTCCCTTTCTTTAAAGAGTTATATGTAGTAATGCTTTCATCAATTTTTATTGCTGTCAAGTAATAATTAACTAGGAAAATGAGTGACCTCCAACTTTATTAGCATGCAATTCTGCTGCAAGCTCTGCAATTCTGTTCAGGGATTTATCTGATGTATTTAATTCAAATGAGCAGGTCCTCTTTTCATGGCCACTCTTCAGGTGTAATGTGTTTAGAAATAAATCAGTTATCAAATATTTCATGCGTTTCCATGGGCCAAAATGCAAGAGCTAGCTCAATTAGCTGATCTGAAAAATCTGTTTATTTACTTACTTCCATCACTGGACTATCTTCACATATCGTATGCTCAGCAGAGAGATTTACTATCAGTCCTGACCTGCAGATGCTAAGGCACAGAGTGTATAAGATGCTAAGGCACAGAGTGTATAAAGACCTAAGCCAAAGTTGACTTCACTGTCATTGGCCTTAGCAAGCTGAGATTTGGGTCCTTTCTAGAGGTAACGGGGAAAACTGGAAAAGCATCAAAGTTTGAACCTGTGCTTCTGTTCTTTGTTCAGTACCCTCACTGTGAAAGATTTTCTTTCTTCTGCTTCATAATAGAATGCATTATGTTGGTCTCTCTTGAGGCTTGGTCAGTGGATTTAGGCTAAAGAGGGAGCCAGTTTCTAGGTGATTTTCCTGCATTTTTGCTGGCTTTCCCAGTATTGTAAAAGGCTGGAAGCTCTGGTTAGAGCTGGACTGCTGAACAACCTGCAGAGGTACAGGAGAGCTGCAGGCAAATGACGTGTTGCATTTTCAGTTAAATTGAATACCATCCAGGTTAAATGTGCACTCCAGCAGCAATTCCCTTTCTCTTCTCAGTTACAGGGATAATGGCGGAAGATGCCTCCCATCACAGATCCAGCTGTAAATCGACATCTGTGGTCTGTGTCTGGAATACATACTTGGATGCTTTTTAAATTGACCTTTGCTACATTAAAGGATTTGATTCATCACAATGATTTTTATGCTACATAAAGGCCAAGAATTCTTTCTATGTCCTATATTACAATTTACAATGGTATATATTTGCATTTACGAAGAAAATAATCTTGTAATATAAAAAAAAAACCAGTCCACAAACACAAAAAACCACAAAACATGCAAAAAGCACTTGTGAAAATATCCTTAAGATTGTTTCTAGTGTTTTTCTATTATAAGCCTTGGAATTAAAATACAATTTATAAAATAGAAGTTTCAGATATTTTATTTCTTCTAGAACAAAGGTTGAAACAGAAGATGAAAAAAAGTGTCCTTTCTTTAAAATAACAACTGTACAGTACAGGAGCATACCCCATGCTCACAATGTCTTCATAGTGCCCTCAACATAACGTTTGTGATAGTGAAACCAGAATGTGATTAGCCAAGAGCTCATTTAAACTGAAACAGAAAAGATCCTCACTTTCAGTCAATGACAGACAGTTAAAGGGAAGAGACCTCTATTTCAACCGTTTCACAGTAAATGACGAGCAAATCATAGAATCATAGAATCATAGAATATCCTGAGTTGGAAGGGACCCATGAGGATGTGACCACTTCCCTGGAGAGCCTGTTCCAGTGCCCGACCACCCTCTCAGGGAAGAACCTTTTCCTGATATCCAACCTAAACCTCCC